CTCTCTCTCTCTCTCTCACACACACACACACACACCAGCATACACTACATCTGTTTAAAAAAACAAAGGACAATAGAACTTCAGACACTCCTAAATGACAGAGCAATCCCACATGGAAATTGCATTGTTCTAGAAAAGGAAGACAGGTAGGTAGACACAGTGTTGATGGAGTAACTGGCCTATAAAAAAGGATTAATTTGTGAACCTCACACCTGGACAAATGCAGTAACCTCCCAGCTGTGTTTTCTTTCCTTCATGAACAAATATCTGAAAGTTTCTCCACATTGCAGGAACTGGTTTAGGTGTTGGGTATTAAGACAGATGATAATTGGCCCTACCTACCCTAATGAAGCTATGACCTTGGAAACCAGATGTACTGACAATACACAGGCATACGTGTTATGACTTGTAGGCTGACAATTGTGTCACCTTCCACTCAATTTTTGGGAACCAGGGCTCTAACTTCCCCTTTGCCTGACCCTCTGCTCTATAATTTGCCTAATAACTCCATTCTTCCCAGGCTGGCCTTGCCTCTGCCAACCCTCCCAGAAATTCTACATGCTGACAGACTTCACTGACTCCCAACTAAATGCCTGCTAGCATCTCTCCATTTACCTCCTCCCAGATTCTCCAACCCTGTATCTCTGTCCTGCCAGCCTACCTAGATACTCACTGGCTATTCTTCTTTGATGTCAGTCTCCAGATTTCTGTGCTCTGATATTTGAGCTCCCCAAACCTCTTAAGTGTAAAGAAGAAACCAAGTTCATAATCAGAAGACTGCTTGGAGGCTGAAATTGGTGGCCATCTAGAGGCTGAGGTCACTGAGGGCCCACCCTCATGGTCAGCCGCTCTGCATGACCTGCAGCAGTCTTCTGGATACCTTCTTTCTAGACATTCTGGAGAAACAGAAGACGCTTTGTGGCCTCCATCTGGTAGTTCTAGACACCACCATTTTTCTTCTCTCCACAATTCATGAGGTTCTAGTTTTCTTCTACTTTCAGTCATGCTTTGGCTAGATTAGCTCTTCATTTTAACTTCTTGTTCTTAATTTGTTTTATATTGGGCAGTGTGACCTAAGAATTCTGCAAAGAACTAACATTATCAGTGTATATTTAACTGGTTATCAAGGGAGAAAAAGAGAGAGGGAAAGAATGACAAAGAAAGAGATTTCATTTCTGTGCCTTATTGTGCAGGTAATAGTGGTAGGAAGTACATTTTGTTCTCTGAAGGCTGAGACATTTCTGACTGTCATAGCTGAGGGGTGCTACTGTCAAACGGTAGCAGAGGCCAGGAATTCTGCTAAATAGCCTACAATGCACAGGACAGCCCCACAACAAAAAATAATCACCCAGCCCAAAATGTCAGCAGTGTTAAAGGTTGAGAATCTCTGGATTACAGTATGTTCAAAAGGCCAATGAACATTACATAACTACTTCTCACTTGGGCAGTTCACCTCAATTCTCTGAAATTATCTGATGATTTGGCTGACTTTGATGGTTAAGCTTCTGCTTGTGGGATATCACACACTCTCACCTTAAAGTTCAAAGAATTGCTCACTAACCAGTTACCCTTAACCACATGTGTATGAAACAGCTGGCCCAAATGACTAACAGACCATTTCTCACTGGGCACACAGGAAGGCTTGTTTAGGAGTTGTTGCCAACATCTGTGGTGTTTAGTGTGCTGAGAGACAGAAAAATGGCAGGAAGGAAAGTGGACGCAAAAATCTTACATGGAGTGAAATTCTACTAGGCTTATCATGCCTTAAAAATTTTCTGAGAGAATGCAAATAGATTCTCCTTTAGATGTGAGTTTGCTTCCTTCCCTTCTTCCTATCATCAGGAGCTATAAAAAAAAGGAGGAAAGGAATGGAGCTTGGAAGTGGGCAGGCCATCGGGTCAACAGGAGAGCTTCCGCTCTGAGGTGGCACTAGGGAAAGAGAAAAAAACGAGGACATGTTGCCAAATTGGATTAGACTTTCCCTTTTCTTTTTTAGTCATAGAAAATTCAAGACTTGACAAACTGATAATAACTGTTACAATGGAGGGAGGTGGTGTTAGATTTACAACAGAATGGAGGAGAAAGCAGGAAGATAGTCTTTTATGGAGACCCCCCCCACACACACACACAATAATAAATATTAAAAACCTGACTCTTCTGACTTATGTTAATGGTCTTCTCTTTTCTCATTTAACCAAAAACAATAAAAATTGAGAATATGGAATATTAAAATGGAGAATCTGAGCATGTGGATCTTACAGAGCTAAACTAAATGCAGGCCAGAGTGCCAACTTTGGCTGTTAAAAGATAGTCTGGCAGGCTCTGAGCCTAGGAGAAACTGTTAAGTAGATGATCTGAGCTAGAGAAATAAGTTTGCTAAGAACTGAGTAGGAGAAAGGACATGTTCCAAATGAATGATAAAAAAATAAAATTGGGTATGCTTTTGTCATTTATAGACAAGTACCAATTTATGAACTGGTTGTGTTCTCAAAAGTTCAAATGGCTATGGCAGCAACAACAGACAAGTAGAATGGAGGGAAATAGAAGTAGTTCACTGATGCTGGAAAGGACCTTCAAAAATTCATAGTCCAATGCTTATACTGAGGAGGAAGAAAATGGTTCAGAAAAGTTGATCATCTTGCTTAATATCACTGTGAGATTTAGGAACAAAGGTGGGTCTTGGGATTCCCCAGGCAGTCCACTAATCATGCTGTGTTGTCTACAAGAAGGAAGCCAGTAAAAATAATTATGGTGAGGAGCAGAGGAGTAAGAGGTGGGCTGCCCAGATGACTGGGAGACAGGAGGGAGAAGAGGAAGTGAAGGTGGTAGGAAAGGAACACTCAGAAACAAGGGGCAGGAAGTGTGATGCCTGATCTGGGTCCCATCCTACCTAAAGTAAACAATTTGGGTGCATTCTGAGTGGTGGCTTCCTACATGTGGACGTTTGGTTTCACAGAAGATGTGACATACAAGGAGAGAAATGGCCAAGATAGAGTCCACAAGTTTTCAAAATCTCAGCATTTCTCACTGCTGTTTTCTAAGCCCCCTGAAATTCATTAATTTATTCAACAAATATTTACGGAAGCCCCTATCTGTGCCAGGTGCTGTGCCAGGCCAGCTGGCTATAGTAGTAATACTGGCAAGGTACAGTTCCTCTGGGGTTTGCTTTCTAGTGAGACAGATGAAACATAAGCCAATCGATAGGATGATGTTCCGTTGTTAAGTGGTATGAAGAAAACGCTACAGCAGCGGTTCTCAACCTGTGGGTCTCGACCCCTTTGGGGGTCGAATGACCCTTTCACCGGGGTCGCCTAAAGACCATCGGAAAACACATAAATAATTACACATTGTTTTTGTGATTAATCACTATGCTTTAATTATGTTCAATTTGTAACAATGAAATTGGGGGTCACCACAACATGAGGAACTGTATTAAAGGGTCGCGCATTAGGAAGATTGAGAACCACTGCACTACAGGATTAATGTGGTAGTGACTGGAGTATCTACTTTCCTAGTAGATTGGATGGTCAGGAAAAGCCTCTTTGAGGTGACAGTTGGTGACAGGCCAAGAGCTTAAGATTGAGATGTCTGGGTAGAGAGCACAGCCCACACAAAGGCCCAAGTGCTGATCCCGTCCTGGTAGGTTTGCGGAGCCCCCAGAAAGCCCATGAGGCTGTAACTGGTGAGCAAGGAGGAGAGATGAAATGAGGTTATGGGGTGAGCTCAGCCCTATCAGGCTGGTGCCTGTGTTCATTTAGCAAGTATTTATTAAGCACCTAGTGTGCCCAGGGCATTGACGAGCATACAGAAATGGAACTGAGAAACCCCTATCTCAAGGATTCTGTCCCCAGGGAAGAAGTTAAAGTTTAGTGAGGGTGACCGAATATTCAAAACAACTTTGGTACAGACGGGGACACCCTGGCCTAGATGTACAGAGCCGCGGCCTGAGGTCAGAGATCCGGCCGGCCATCTCCTCCCCCCATAGGGAGGTAGGGTCTTTCCGGAGATGAGTAACCGAGCCCACCTTTCCTCAACGGGTGCGCCTTCTCGGTCCCCGTGGGTGGGGGCGGGCCTCAGAAATCCCCAGCCGGCTAGGTCGGCCGCGCGGTGATGAGCACCTGA